ATGGACTCCCACTTGCATCCCAAATTCCCTGCTCCAATTCCTCGGATCAATTTTTTCTCGAAATCAATAATACCAAGTCTCCATCTCCTTGGATCAAGTTTTTCTCGATAATACAAAGACTCCATCTCCTCGGATCAAGTTTTTGGATTCCCCCCTCTGGGGGTAAGCATTCAAATGAACTCCCCCTATGGGGCATGGTACTTTCTCTTACTACAGGTCTAAACAAGTGTGACATCACCCCACCTGTGTTTACTCGGCGGTCAGTGACGTCACGTGATGACCTCACACACACAGGCTGAATCTTGTTGACTTCCCCTCCCCCTCTATGTCAGTGACGTCACATGATGACCCCCACACAGGCTGAATCTTGTCGACTTCCCCCCCCTCTATGTCAGTGACGTCACATGATGACCACACACACACAGGCTGAATCTTGTCGAGCAGACATTAAAATGCAGGATAACACTATTTATTATACAACCAATGCATTTCATATACATCCAACAAAAAAATTCATTGAAAAAAAGATACAATTCATTGACTAAAATCAACATATTTTTCTTTTGAAGAAATTCTGTGCATTTTTTTTTTTTTGTTCTGGATCTTCTTCGTCGTCACCATCTCAGTATTACACATTTCATATACAACATAGGGAAAACAATTTCACTCTTAACCCAGGATAACCCAAATAATTTCACATTTCAGGATAACACTAATACACAATATTTTCATTATTTATTTATTATACAACCATTACATTTCATTACATTTCTGGTAATACAACAGCAAAAAAAAAAGAATACAAAATCATTGAAAAAAAAGGTACAATTCATTGACTAAAATCAACATATTTTTCTCTTGAAGAAATTCTGTGCATTTTGTTCTGGATCTTCTTCGTCGTCATCTGATATATAATAAACTTCTGGGGAGGATGATGGTGGGGAAGCCGGTGGATAATTTATGGGGGAAGACGGGGAATCCTCATCAATACATGAACTAGGTTGGGAATTTGTCATGAAATATTCCATCTCACTCCATACACATTTATCAAAATAACAACTACTGGCACATTCTCCTCTCATATTAATCTCTGGAGCTTTGCAGTGTCTGCAATGGAAGACACTGTCATGCAGATTCGGGTGTCATCTGCAAAGGAAGACACGGTGCTGTGGCTGACATCCTTGTCTATGTCGGATATGGGGATGAGGAACAAGATGGGAGCGAGTACTGTGCCTTGTGGAACAGAGCTTTTCACCGTAGTTGCCTCGGACTTTACTCTGTTGACGACTACTCTCTGTGTTCTGTTAGTGAGGAAATTATAGATCCATCGACCGACTTTTCCTGTTATTCCTTTAGCACGCATTTTGTGCGCTATTACGCCAGGGTCACACTTGCGAAGGCTTTTGCAAATTTGTATATATTACATCTGCATTCTTTTTGTCTTCTATGCATTTAGGACCTTGTCGTAGTGATCCAATATTTTGAGACAGAAGGACGACCTGTTCTAAACCCATGTTGCCCTGGGTTGTGTAACTGATGGTGTGGGGGGAAAATCTTTGCATTATTGATATCGAGAAAAACTGATCCGAGGAGATGGAGCAGGGAATTTGGGATGCAAGTGGGAGTCCATTTTGAATGCTTAACCCAGAGGGGGGAATCCAAAACAAACTTGATCCAAGGAGATGGAGCAGGAATTTGGGGGTGGAAGGAGGGTACCCAAAAAATTTGATCCAAGGAGATGGAGATCATAAGAAAAGATTTTGAAAAAAAATCGGAAAAAAATTCGGGGCGCAGGGGCAAATCCGGACGACGCTGCAAAAGGGCGCAGGCGAGGGCGCGGGCAAGGGCGCAGGCAGGCGGCACGGGCGGGCCCCTGGTCGAGCACGAGGGTGGGCGCGGGTCGGCGCGGGCGGGCCCCTGGTCGGGCGAGGGGGGGGGTTGTGTGGGGGCGTGGGTGGGGGGTTGAGGGCGAGGTGGTCGAGGGTGAGGTCAAGGTCGTTGGTCGGCGGGGCGGGCTGGCGCTCGGGCGGATGCGCGGGCGTGGCGAGAAGCCATTCAGGAATACAGCGCTCGCCGCAAAATTTGGCGCTCAGCCCCATACGGCACTCAGCCGCACGGCGCTCGCCCCATACGGCGCTCAGCCGCTTTCAGCACTACTTATATTATATATATATATAATGTATTGTGTCGTGGCCGAATAGACAGAACTTGCGATCTTGGGTTAATAGCAACGCTCATCTTGCCATATGGACACGTGAAAATTTGTGTATGCAATAATTTCGGGCCAAAATCATTCCCGAACCTAACGAAAAAAAATATACAGTGGTCCCTCGCTTTTCGTAGTTCTCGGCATCCCTAAATTTCGCCAATCATAGGGGTATTTTCGTATAAAAAGGGCTTTGCTTTTCATAGGTTGACTCGCAAATATTAGTTCGTCCAAGATGCGTATGCACTGTGTGAGCCGGGGCGGCCTCCCTACCCAGCCAGTCTAACATTGTTTACCAGTGAGTGAAGGTCCCCTCAAGTGCTCCTACGAAATATTTCATAATCCACTCATTTTAGTGCTTGCAAGTACTAAATAAGCCCACCATGGGTCCAAGGAAAGCTCCTAGTGCCAACCTGTGGTAAAGAAGGGGATAAATATGTACAGTGACAAAGTCTTGACCATTTTAGGGAAGTGTTAAAGAGATGCCAGAAACAGAGCTCTCTCCACAGTTACTTTGCGAGACAGGACTAGAGCGACTCTCAAGGTGGTCCAAGTGGCATTAAGAAACAGAGAAGAGAAGCAACCCCAGAGAAGATTGGTACCTGAGGTGTTGCTGGAAGGGGATTCCCCTTCCAAACTGTAAACAATCCAATCTCTTTCCTCCTCCAGTCTCCCATACACTAAGAAAATTTTCCAATAAAGGTAAGTGTTATGCTGTTAATGTTTCATTCAATCATTTCCCATTGTATTGTTTATGTACTACATGATATTTCATGTAAAAAAAATTTTTTTTAATACTTCTGGGTGTCATGAACGGATTAATTGTATTTTAAAATTTTTTCTTAAAGGGGAAAATTGATTTTGCAAATCGTAAATTTCGTTTATGTAACGGCTCAGGAACATATAATTTCGAAAAACGAGGGGACCCTGATTTTCACGTGTTTTTAAATATTTAA